AGAGATTGCTGACCTACAGAAATGTAAGTACAAACAAGTTTACCCTTTTTCACAGGTATTCATAAAAAAAAAAAAAAAAACATAAGCTTGGAAAACTTCATCTCTATCACTTTCACAGCTGATAAATGAACTAGGAGCGGTAGATGCTAGACTGGCTTCTCAACTGCGTCAGCTTCTCTCTGGAGAACAGCAAGACCGAACTGTGAAGAGATCAGCGGGCAGCAAACATATCAAAGTAATTACTTTTCCATTTTAGTTTATGCAAGTTAGAACATTGGCTTTTTTCTGAGTCTGACATGTCTATATTTTAGGTTTCAGAAAAGGCTAGGTTGGAAGAAGCAGAGGAGTCAGAATCAGATGAGGAAGCAAATCTGCGCTTTTATAATGCCATGGCGGAGAGACAGAAACTTAAGAGGAAGAAGAGCGAGATGCAGAACGAGGACAGGTGAGTCCGTTTACAACATTCAGCACTTGCAGTTTGTCATAAATAATGCTTCAGAAACCTAATTGTCACTGACTTCATTTCCAGATTGGTGGAGGAGGAAAAGATGGACGGAGATGCTAAAAGAAGGATCACCTATCAGGTGAGGTGTTGTGGTTAAATGATGCATGCAACTCGCACCCAAACAATTTTCAAAAAACTTGAACTTGTGTCCTGAAAGTTATATTAGGGACAGTGTTATCATAACCAAATCATGTTTTGTGAAAAGATGTCCAAGAACAAAGGGCTCACACCCAAGAGGAAGAAGATTGATCGGAATCCCAGAGTCAAACACAGAGAGAAGTTCAGACGTGCCCAGATTCGTCGGAAGGGTCAGGTAAGTGTCATAGGATTCATTTCTGTAATTCACTTTTGTTTGTGACATTTAAGGTATCACTACTCAAAACGGACACTGACTGCAGATTATTTGTGTCAGGTTCGTGAGGTGCGGCGTGAGGAGACAAGATACAGTGGAGAATGGTCTGGTATTCGTGCTGGAGTCAAGAGGAGCATCAAACTCAAGTCATAAATCTACAGATGATACTCATGCAAACTTGAATGAGATATTAATATGGACTTTTCTGGTGTTTCTGCAATGTTTATACTCACTATCACAGATATTAACAGATGGATTTGACATGTTTTGTGCAACTGCTCAAACAGCAAATAAAATCAAGTTCTGATCACAGTAAAAGTTATTTTTTGTTTTATGTGCATTTCAAAACTGTTAGCATATTAAACATGTTTTAAACCTCAAAAGTATTAACACGTTTAATGTTTATTGGAGAAAGTTTATTTTTTATACATTACACATACATTATATAATATTATTTAATTTTTAATTTACATCGGCTGTTAAAGCGTGAGATTTCTTGCAGATGGACTTGAAGTTTAAAAAAATACTAAGCAAAGGGAACATTAGGATAATTACTGAAGCATATTTTGTGTTTTTAAACTGATTAATATCCAAAGAAAGCAGATGAAATAAGATCTTTTTGTACAGAGGAAATTAATATAAAGGAAATTATTAGATCTCTAATAAACATTCATTTTACAACAGAGAAGTTTCTGAACTTGCAGATGTTATTTGGAGCGACACAACCAGAAGTCAACTTTCCAGGATCAGTTTCTCTATTAAAATTTGAACCAGAATTATTACAATACAACAAAAACTGATCCCAGATCTGCCTTGAGCCTACAGTACATGCGACAAAATCACAGCATGGTTTTTTTTATACTTGAGACATAAATTGACTGTGTGCTGCAGTCAGATTACTGACAATCCTGTCCTCAATCTCTACCTCTTTTTGCACTTCCTCATCTGTGAGGACCAGCTCTTGTTGCGTGTCCTTGGTGACAACAACCACATAACCACGGCGTGTGTCAAGAACATTTGCAACCACTGCCTGGTGGTTGTATGTTTCTAAGGCACGCCGTGCTCGCTCCAGAAGGATGGAGGGGTCCGTTTCCAGCTTGAAAGAGATGACGAATGCCTTAGGTGCCCAGTCCTTCACCAGTGGGGACAGCATCTTGGGAACCATCTTCATACTTATCTAAATAACATTAAACAAGCAGAGGAATGACATGTTATATGTTGTTTGGAGTCTAGATTAACTAAATGTAGCATAGCAGATGGGTGTAAAAAAAAAAAAAAAAGAAATAAACCATGAACTTCTTAAATATAAAATATATATAAATGATATTTTAAATAAATCTAATATAATGAAAAATAATAGATCAAACAGCACAGTACTTTAGTTAGTAGAAAAAAACATTAATATAACATAATAAAAACTAAATATTTATTAAAATAATACATTTATCATATTAATTTTTCACATAAATTTGGTCTTTATCCATGAAAATATATAGCTACTTTTTTAAAATTTTAGAATGGGGGTCCCTTGCACGAGGATGATCATATTTGGGGGTCTGTGGCAATCTAAGAGATTGAAAACCCCTGGCCTAGAAGACTGAATTAATATTTGTATTTATTATACAACACCTGAAGTGGCCCATTAGAGGACTGGATTTTGTGTTCTGGCATTTCATATGCTGGGATGTAGAAATCAGAAACAGCAGCAGCCAAATAAAACATTGCCTTGGACCCTAGGAGGGAAAAACAGAAATGAATACAACTAGTAATCCCACTACAAACGTATTCAGCCTCAAGTAATCAAAAAATGGCTTTGTTCACCTATGGAGCTTAATGCTTGAGCTGCAGCCTTGAGTAGATGGAGGTACTCCGACAAGGTGTTGAATTCCACTGGCAGCAGTAATCCTGCCGCTTTCACCGCCTGATAGCGCTTTAAAACCTTTGCAATGTTTGGAAGCGCGTTCTGATCCACCAGGATCTGACCAGCGTCCTCCTTACCACTCTCTGATCGTATGCTATCCAGTAAACTGACCCCTGTGTACAGACGAGTGTATGGGTAGAGAGAACGATGCCTGTGCAGAAAGATCACTGCATAGCCTGAGTCCAGAAAATACTCGGCAGAGGAGGCCCCTCGCCGACCACTGCTGAAGTTGTCCAGGAACCGTACTGTTCGGGATTCCAGAGGAACTTTAGTTCCTCCCGAGGTGATCAGAACTACTCTGCGCCCGGCCGATCCGTGATGTTCGGCAAACTCTGCCATGAGTTTCTTGACCTCCTCCGCATGAGAGGGGACCGCAAACTCTTCAGACAGTCCTCCATCCACTGCCTTTGAGGCTGAGGGCTCAGAGTGGGCCATTGAAACCTAAAAGAATAAAGTTTTAGTTATTAAAGTGTTATCATTTTGCAAGCGTTTATGAATGACCATTTGGAATTAGAAATAAGCTCAAGAAGATCAGACAGATTTCAGACCCAAAGTAATATGACATTACATGCTACATAATTGTCCCTGAGCAATACACTGTTGGTCAACTAAAGTCAGATGAGTATTTGACGAAGTTCTTGCACTAATTTAAAGTTAAGTGTGAGAAAGATACATTCTCGCTGTCAGTGTAATCTTCTCTTATTATCACGTTGATAAACAAGGGTTTACCTGTTTGCTCACTCACAAATAAAACTCTAAAGAATATAATTCACCAGCGAATGACCCTGATAAACTTGGACTTGGTGTGTGACAGATCAACAGGAGCAGTTCCCGCAAACTTATTATGGTTGATGTGCGCAAACTGCGCATGCGCAGCTTCGGATGTTGTGATTGGCTCTTTCAGAGGGCTGCCGTGAAATTTCCAAAATAAAGGTTTTCAGGTGACTGTTGTTCTTTCTGCTTTTATGGGAAACATGGACCACAGTGGTATGAAAGACAAGTACACAAGAAAACAGAGATAAAATAAGGAGAGTAAATTACGTAATTTATTTAATATATTTAATTTACTGTGGTCAATAAACAGTAGCATAATCATCCATCCAACATATCAAATACATTTATAATGTAGAATTTGAAGGAGGAATGAGCTGCAAAATATTTGTAAAACAGGTAATTCACATTCAGGTTCACAGGGGGCAGCATTGTTTAAGCAATACAAAATAAGTAGCATTTTACAGCTTAAAAGTTGCAAATCATTTTGCAAACATTTAGGACTGGGGTCATGAAAACTTCGCATTGTAAATGTGATATTTACATATCCTACAAATGAATAAATACTCTTTATTTTAAGATTCGCAACTATTAAAATAACAATAATAATTAAAATAAGCAATAAATAAAATAAACGAGGAAGTTATTTGAAACCAGAAACACGTGGTGTACTGATCTATATAATGACTATTCTCTGAATATGACTATTTACTTCTCTATTATAGATCAGTGAGTGTACCACAAAAGTAAAACAAATGAGGAATATTTTTCTTCCTCCAGACAAACGGATCAAAGTGGGGAAACGTCTTTATTTAATGTATTATTATTATTATTTTATTACATAATTTTGGGGTGCTGTCCACATCTTTTATTAGGAACAATTATATTAGTAGGCCTACATATATCGTTACCCATGTGCCAAAAGCTTTATGAACGGCACCATTATTAGCAGTAATAACGTTTCTTATTAACAGAATAGGTATTTAATATTTTAAATACTGATTAATATTAAAATAGTTCAGAAAATTCCGGACGAAATCACAATCCACTGTGGTAACTCAACATCCACGAATTGTCTGATTTAAAACCAGACAAAAACTAATAACAGTATAAAACCAACTTCATTTGATCAATACATTTAAAAAAACATTAAAAAAAAAAACATGTTGGGAACTATCTACATCTTTTAAATGTATATTCGGATATACTGCTACTCTTTCGACAAAGGATTTACGATTGAATCGATTAGTACATTTAATTTTCGAAATTGTTTTTTATCATATGGTATGGTTGTGCTGAAGAAAAGCCATTTATAATAATTCTCGTGATAATATTCTTGTACACTAAAGGCACTACTTTCCGGCTGCAAAGCCTGTCGCAGCTTGGTACAGTGGGCCGTTCTCCGGCTAATGTCCAAAAGTAGTTCCGGATTTTTGATCCGCGCAGTCCCCGGATGTTAGCTATTCGGAGAGAAAGACGAAAAGAGCGAGCGAGCGAGCGAGCGAGAGAGAGAGGGGGAGAACCTAGGAGACGCCACGGACAAACCAGTAAAGGGATTGCGGGTCTCAAACCCACGATAAACACGGAGAGCTGTGGCTCGTTTCGAGGAGAGAGAGGGAGCTGTGATCGAAAAAGGAGGGAGGGGACGGCTAACTTTGACAGACCTGCACTGGCCTCCAGTAGCGGACACGAGCCCGGGTGAGTGCGGGTGAACGTTACGAGATCACGACATGGAGCTCGCGAAGTTGAAGTCAGGGCCCGCGAAAAATGGACGACTTTAAGTATTAGTTGTGTGGTGCTTAACTGTTAAGTTCTGAGCAGAGCGGAAGGAAGGACGTTCAGGCCTCAAGTGGTATGCTGCTGCTGTTGGCGCCGTCGTTCGGGGGCAGATGGGGACACTGCAAGCTCCACTGTCACAAGAGAACAAGTTTAACGTTAGTTAGCAAGCAGCTAGCCGCCAATACGGTGTTTGTCAAACAGGTAGCGAGAGTGAGCTGCTAATTAGCCGCCAGCTTTACTTTAGCTCGCCTGCTATTTGTTCGCGTATTTGACAGGCGTCTGACTTGCAACATTTGTGACTGAAACTCGGTCAGTAAGCCGAGCTGGAAGGGAGCTCTTCGACCGGGAACTGCCAAACGAGCAACTTTTGGTCCTGTCAGCTAACAGTAGTTGGAGGTGGAGGCCGTGTCTATTAATATTTTGAAAACAGACGTGCGGCAGCTGCGTGTCATTTTAAATACGAATCCTGGCCAACTTGTGGTGCCATTAAGATTCATATAACTTGGGTTTTTGTGCGAACAAGAGGTGTAAGATTGTTTATGGAGCGTTATTGAGATTTTTAGTGTGAATTTATGAAGTTTTGCACGAGTTATTTACCTCTCTGTCAGCATATGCTGGATGAAGTAGCACTTTGGGTGAATTCGACGACAGGTTATAATAATAGTCAGTTTCAGCAGTTCTGATCTTACATTGAGCGATATTTGTAAGATTTTATACACATCATATATAGACTGTCATATCTAGTCAGTGCAAGACTAGTCCCCCGTCTGTTTAGCTGCTGGAATGTGACCCGCTGTCTGTCAGTTATTTGGATTTCCCCCCTTAGCTGCTGCAAGAACAGACCTTTGCTGTCATGTTGTGCTCTGTTTAATTTGTTTTCTTGTTGTTTATATCGCGATGTCTAACGTTTATAATTTGACATTAAGGCAAGACACCACAGTTGAATATGGTAACAAGTAGACATCACTATACTTCCCCAGTTGATTAATCACAGTACAATATGGCAATTGTTTTGTATTCCAGTTTTTTAAATAGTATGTTTAAATATGAGGTGTGATGTAATTAATTATGCACTCATTTGCGTAATTGCATAAATTGAATTTTAGTTTCATTTTGTTGACGTATTAAGAGTATTTTTTGGTATCTCTATTTATCACTCCATAAAACAGAAAATACTGGCAACAGTAGTAAAATGTTATATACAGTCAGGTAAGTGGTATATAAATAAGCTACTCTAAATACAGAATATAGATAGGAATAAAGCTCTGTAAGTGCTACTGAAGTGAAGGATTATTGCTCAGTGCAGGAGAAAAAAAACTAATTCGTTCAGAGAAAACAGCCTTTAAAGATATGTATTGTAATTGAATTCTACAGATGCAAAAAGATAAAAAGGTCTTTTTTTTATGTGAATTTTGGGTGTTTTTTTTCACTAGTATGAAAAGAAGACATGTTATAGAAGCAAGATAGACTGATATCTCAAAATTGACCAGTGCATGAAAAAACAATGGTTTTGACTGTAGTGTCTTGTCTTATGTTGTCAATGACAGCTTGTCTGCATATTTTTGCATGCATGTTACATTTGTATTGGCCTGATGAGGATTGACCAACAGCATTTAATGAGTTCTAATGGGATTTTCTCCCCCTCCTCATTCACTAGAGATTAAAGTACAAATGGAGAGACTGTTGAATTATGAACTAGCATGCTTAAAATATTGAATGATGGACATATGTGAACTACCCGGGACATATTTTCCCCACCCATTCAGCATAGCAGTACAATAGTGTGAAAGATTCACATTAGCACCAGACTTGTTTGTCTTTGGGTTGTCAGCCCACAGAACGCAGAAAATGATTGAACCATCAGTTGCCTGTCAGAACACGCCTGGTGGTTCTTGTGCTGAAACTGCTGCCTTTTAGTATTTACAATTATTGCATTAAGAACATTGTTACATTTGTATAAAAAGTAATATGAGTCATGAAAATTATGCTGTACATTTTAAACTCTGTAATGTTCTGTACTTTTGTATTGATGTAAAATGGAATAGCAGACTA